CAGAAAGAATAACAATCAACAGTTCCTTTTTATCATTTGTTTGTAAAAGGATCCACAACACAGCAAAGGGGCTTAAATAAAATTTCTAATAAAAGAAAGTACCATCATTGTCAATACCAACAGAAATAATCACCTTAAAATGTCATCCACTGTTTATTACAATGAAGATTAGTAAGAAGGAATAACCAAGACAATGCACATTGTGTTCAGCTGCCCCACAGCCTCAATATAGGCTGACATTTGTCAAGAGGCTGACTACTCTTCCTTCCCTGAGGCTATAACTGCTGTGAGACAGAGACAGAGACAGAGAGAGAAGGACATGATGGTGGGTGACATGACTCACCTCCTCCCTCCAGGCTGCCCAGGCTGACCAAGCCGTCTGGCCGGGTGTTCCTGGCTCCTTCAGCGTCTGAATCTGACTTCTCTCGTTTCTCTTTCTCTGTGCCAGATATGGCAAGAAGGTAGACAAAAATAAATAAAAAAAATAGATGTTAAAAAAAAAAAGAGGAGGAAGACAGATGTCAGTGCCAACAAGTGGGGTGGGGGGTGGGGGGGTTATATGGGTATTTTCACTAACCAAGCATATAATGTGTGTAAACTAATTAAGCAGCAGTAACTTAGCAGATAAGGTTAAGGAGGTTACTCAAGCCATCTGCAATCTATAAGTCATGCCTGATGGTACCTGTAAGTAACTATTTAAATCCTTAGAGCTGACATGGCATGTAGGTCAGATGAGTAACAGGCTGGGCTTGCTCCAAGCACTCTCACCTGCTAAGATGAAGCTTTTCAACACAGTGCAGGTCACTAAGAGCAGCTAGCAACAGCTGTCATTAGATTTCCTGCACAATGTAGAGCAGCTCTCTTAAATTGAGTAGCTTCAGTATTTAGGAAGCATTTCAGTATCATGCCTAGCAACTGTGCTGAAGGTTCATGTTAAAAACTCTCCTACTTCAGAATGAATGAGACTAATCTATAAACCCTCCTGTACTGACTCTCACCAAGGAACAGGAGAGAGCGTGACATCACTGTATTAAGTCACTCAGAGCTGTGGTATGACATCATGACAAATTGTAGTTCAGTTGCAGTTTGAAATGTATAATGAGGACCCTCATGAAGCTCATTAACCTAAATCAACATTTATTAAAAAATTGTTTCCTTGTGTTCTGTGCATCCCACATATGGACAATCTTAAATATTCATATTCAGTTTTTGTCCAAACAATCTTTCAATATGCTTGTTGTCACCATGCATTCCCAAAACACCTCTCACTGAATATCTGTCTGAACAGTCTATCTCCTGGCACGTTTTTACAGGACTCCTCTGGAGCTCTAATAAATATCAGGAATGATTTTCTAGCTACTGTAAGAAAGTTGATAAGACACTTTTACTTCTAGTCCCAGGAGTAGTGACAAGAGTGCATCACACAGAGTTTCTGGCCACTTAGGAGTGTTATGTGCCCAGATTTTTTCTTCTGAATGACTGACTACTTTAAGTCTACTCATAAATACAAACAGACACACCCAGATAGGCTGTATAGTAAAATGCCACCATTTCCCATAACATGAAGGTTACACAGATTTATAGAAAAACACAGCGCCTTCTGCACTAGTGTGATAACTTGGTTGGATTACAGTGTAATCCAGCTTTTCAGAACATCCACTTCTGTCTAACCTCAAAAGACCTGCCTACACAAAGGTGTTTTTATTTCTTTACCATCCTTACTCTGGGGGGGAAAAACATCTCATTTCCCATGCACCCAGGTAGCCTAGTGATGGCAATGTTACAAAAATCTCCCCAGGCATCTGTTTCTCCCCACTGGCCTTTCCAATATGTGTCTTTAGGCAAACTACAGTAACACACTCCTGCTAAACATAACTTAAAGACTTAAAGACAGTTCAAAGCTGGCTGTACTGTTTACAATGAATATTCTATGAACACAGATTTATGAACAGAAATGGTAGCTGTAATATACAGAGGAATGTGGGTCAGGATTATGAAGTGAGCTGTGGAGAACTTCTATGGGTAGTGGAGGAGAGTTTGTAGGAAACAGAAGCAACAAACGAGACAGGCACACAGTAGATACCACAGCACTTCCTGCCCTGATCCTCTGGGGTCTTGTAACTTTAAACAGACTCAGAAGGATTTTTTTTTTCCTTCTTTTCATCCCTCTTTCTTATTTCCTGCTGCAAGAGAACATCACTACTTGTTTTGAAAAAAAGTATTCCTTTCCACTCTACAACCTTCTACACTACCTGGCACTGCACTGAAATAGGAGGAAAACAGCTCTGCAAATTAAATGGGTTACTAAGCCTGAGACAAAAAGAGGTGAAAAACGGTGACAGAAAGAGCAAATGAGAGAAAACTGGTACAGTGAGAGAATGAGACGGTACCAAATTTAATATTCAAGTCAAATATACAAATAACCAAATGAAGAGGTGTGAGTCAGGGACTCGTGGCCTTGATCTTGGGGAAGGAAAAAAAAAATCACCCACCCCCAAGATAGAAATATGTCCACATTAAACCATTACTAAAGATGACAGCAGAAGGAGGAGTAGAAATGTGTGAATAAATAAGCTTGCCTTTACATGAGACAGGATCATGGACAGAGACAGAGTGTGAAAGGGGCTGAGCTCCCACTGACACACAATTATTTTGCTCTCTTTTAGACACTAGCAATCCCAACAGCCCTTTCTGCCCTGCCTTTCACGTGCTCTTGCCCTTGCTTCTCAACCCCACCCCCCTACTTTGCTCGTTTCCTCTTCACTCCTTATAATAAACAGAAGCAAGTGCTTAAAACTGGGGGTGGAGGAGGAGGAAAAATAGACATGACAGGAGGGGGGATAAAGGTACCAGGTGCAAAACAAGACAGACAGCAACAATAGATAATCACAAAATTCTAAGCGCAACCACATGCAATGCACATGTAAAGATGAGGAAACTGGGACAGGAGTGGTGATGCACAAACCAGTATTATGTGGCAAGAACCACTCATTTACATGGCAGCCATACATGCAGTAAATTATATGCATGTTCTGCTGAGCTGTACAAAAGGATGTGTATGAGACACCATCCTTACACAGCGCTCATGACTGCCTGCTGTGTCCGTGTTGGTGCCTGAATAAGTACTGTCTGCTTATCTCCTGTGCACAGTCTACTACCGTGGTGCCAGGCTAACCTTAATTCCCTGCCTCCTGTCCCCATGTAAATACGTAGATGAGTTTTTAAACCACAGCTGTGTTGCTTGCAATAAAGAGGTGTCACTAAAATGAAACAGGTCTCTGCCCTCTGGGTAACGATTTAAGTGCTGCGAGGACAACTACTCCAATCAATGGGGATATTGCTCTAGTGAATGTGTGTGTGTGTGTGTGTGTGTGTGTGTGTGTGTGTGTGTGTGTGTGTGGGACAACAGTGACCAGCAGGAGCAACCAAACAGCTCTACAGTAATTCACGTGACCTCTCTCGAGGCAAAGACCAGGAAGACATATTGACTGAGAAACCTCTGAGAATAAAAAAGGCAGGATCATTGTTTAGCTACTAGGAGGGAAGATACACAACATGCACAAGTAAAAATAGGGAGTAACAACAACGATGGAGGAGAGGGAAGAGGACAGGAACATTTTCACTCATCTGCCATGGACAGTCATGTATACCTTCCTTGGCAGCTTGCCAGAATTCAAATGCCACTCTGAAAGCCTGAGCCACTGTTAGGGTTACTGCCTGGGCCTGTTGGAAGGAGTCAGAGAAACAGACAAGAGTGAGACAGAAAGGAAGATGAAGAATACTCATATGCATCTCATCCATAGGAAGGAAGGCTCCAGGAAGTTGAGCAGCTACAACCATGATTCCAAAAAAAGGAAGTGACCACTAAACATAAGGAGTTCCTCAACAGATACTTGAAGAGGGGGAAGAGAAACCTGTGGGCTCCATGACAAGTTGTTATTTATGTAACTGGGAGGATACGTCAGAGCTAAATTAGTGAGGGGAAGGAAGAGGAGGGAGTGGCACACTCATTCTCCAAACCTCCAGGGATGGAGAGGATATCAACCTCCCCGTCCTGTGTTCTCACTCCTCATCTTTCTACTAAAATGCGGATATGTGCAAGTAAAGTGTGACTCAAAGTGGTAGTACAGTTGTCCTGAGTTCACTTAGCAACACATTTGCATAAAGTGCTTTTCATGGACTGCCAGACACAAACCTAAATCAAATACCTGAATGCAGCATTCGCAGAATAAGGAAGTTCTATCAGACATGTGTAGTGTTAGGTTATTTCTTAGTTAGAGAAGCTTATAGTAGCTACAGCCTGTATGCTTATTTCACTACACATTTATTTATACTCTCAGTTGGTAGTTTATTAGGTCCACCAAGGTAAAACTAATGTAGTCCAATACAGCAGTCCTGTAATAAATTGTTTGGTTGCAGTGCAGACAGTCTGCACCTGATTGAAACTTTGGGCTGCATGTAGAGGTATGCAGAGTCCACCCTTGCAGTCTTTGGCCGATGATGAAATTTAATACATCACATAGATGCTTGCGAACAGAAAGCATAAACTGGCCTTCAACCTGACAGGTGTTTTCTATTATTTTGTCCACCCCATTTATATAAATGAGGCTAGGTTAAATAACAGAAACACCTCTCTCTATAATGCAGTACACCACCACAAATGTATAGCCCCATACAGCTGAATCAACACAAACAAACACTGAACAATTTGGGAAATGTTTGCTCACTTTTCTTCCAGGAGTTGGAAAATTAATACCACATCATGTCTGTACACTGAACATGAACATCCAATACAGCTAAATACAGTGGCATTATTCTCATCCAATTTTTTTGGAAAACGCCAAAAAAAAGAATGATTCCATAATTTAAAAGTCAACACTAGCTCTAATATCTGGATGCAGGTGGTTTCAAACTACTGTATGTGTCCACTTACAGAAGCTGAGTATGGTCAGATTTGTCTCTCATGAATAGGTAACTGAACTTTTGGGTAAACAACCTGCTTGTACCCAGACGCCTAATAAGAAACTCATTTACTTACCATTTTTTTCTTGGTACAGAGGAATGCATGACACTCGAGAGTCTCGTTGCGCTGGTTCTGCATGATGTAGGCAAACACTTTGTCATGCATCTTGTCTGCTGTGCAATATGATATTCTGGAAGAAAAAAAAACCAAACACAGATTAACACAAATTAAAAACCAAGACTTCCTAGAGTCATCACAGATCAAGTGGGGCCACCATAAAACTCCATCTGCACTAAGCCCCTAAGCAAGTCCAGCAATCTGATATAAACTGTTCAATCTAGCATTTCTCTAAACCGCTGAAAAATAAAATCTGTGACATCCTTAAAGCCACTGCACTCACATGACACTGAACTAAACATGTGTGCAACAGATACCTGTGCTTTTCTGCCAAAGGGATGTCATTCCTTTTTGCTTTTGGAACAAGTTACACATTTACATTACTGTGTCCACTTGTTTAACAATGTTTATACACACAGAGACTCGGCCTGTCCAATGTACTATAAAAGTACATGGAAAGGTTCCTACAGACAGGGATGGCTGTTCCTGTGTGGTTGTGGTGCAAAAAAAGTCATCTAGTGATGTGTGTGTGAGGTATCAGTCTTGCTTGTCAGTCTCACCTGCAGAGCAGGGTTTTAAATTAAGCCGCAACACTCCACAAATAGCTTTCCTCCACTATTTGAACATCATGTCATTGCACCAATATCAGTGACAGGCACACTGGCCAGGTGGGGATGGAGACCCAAAATGATGAAGCATGCTATAATGAATGTCTGCCACCTGACCTTCCTTTCTCCTTCAAGCGTCAGCACTTCATTGTGAGATAATCGCACACTCCGTTAACTAATGTCTACCCAATATATGGAGAAATACATAAATAAAAGCAATGGAGGGACAAGTTTTGAGAGGTTTAAGAATCACAGCTGTGGTCTGCTCACCACAAACAAGATTTACAGGTGACTATTTTGATGAGAGGGTGTTGAGGATATTGGATGTCTAGGCAAATCCTCTTTATTGTCCCAATCACCCATCTCCTTAGCAGATGTCTGAGGAGGAGCAGCATTCCAGTGTGGTACGAGATCCAACCAGGTGCTTTGGGTTTTCACATCACCCTGAGGTCACAGCCACACTCCCCTCACACTGCCTTTTAATTACTGCACACTATTTACATACATTATATTCTTGAAATGAGAAAATCAATTATCAGTGAAGCATTTTACTAGAGATGCACTGTAAAAAGGGGTTTTAGGTATGGTTGCACACAAACACCAAGACAGGTTGTTGAACAACAGATCTCTCAGAATTTTGTAATAGACATCAGCAGAGCAGAAACTATGAGTCCAGAGGTTTTCAAACTGCTGGAGACGTGAGACATGGTGGGTAAGACAAAACACAGGTACATGGCAGTGTTCCAAAAGTGGTCAGTTATTATAGTTTGGCTTTGCTCACTTATCAACATGGTCAACAGCTGCCACACAGCTCATGCAGGCAGTTAAGAACTTTGATCAAATCTGAATGCACAGACATAATGCAGGTGCTTTTAGATTCCCTGTGACTGATACTTTGAGGATTTCATCTTTGATGTCCATCACAAATTGTAGGGGAAAAAGAGACACTTCTTTAGATCTCCAGAACCCACCTGAGAACACTATGATTTAGTTTCTATAGTGTTAGAGTAATCCAGTCATTGTTGTCTGTAAATCCATAGGTAGCCCACAGTGTAAACAAGAACAGCTAATTCAGCATACTTTTAAAAAGGTGAAAAATGGAACTACTATAGGTCAAAAACAAAGGAGGCTCCAGTTGTTACCAACAGCTAACTAGCTGACTCCATGACAAGTCGATACCTCCTGTTTCAGCCATTAACACTAGGTGAAAATTGCAGTTAAAAAACCTAGAGCGGGGACACAGACTGGGACTTTGAAAATGTTATCTTAAGAGAGTGGCATCTGTCATTCTGCTTTCCTCTGCTTCTGAGATGGACATTTTTTCAATCTGGGGAAAAAAAAAAAAAGTCCATCTCGCACAGCCAGGAAACTGTTCTTCAGTGACGAGCAATGCAATATTCAGCATGTTGGAAGACTTTTCTCTGAACTTGGTCAGAATCCCAAGGTGACACTGGAGTCCCGGAAACATGGTCAGTGAAGACAACCTGTCAATCAAATCGGTCTGGGGTAACCTGAGGAAACCGTAACCAGCTGAGGTTTTGTCCTCAATCTGCCAGCTTTTAGAAGAAATTATTCAACACAGGCCTGTTCATGCTGATGTAAAGTCCCATCTTGCTTTGATAGGTAGACTCACAAATGTGGAATTTTCAAAAAAAAAATGACTCAAGCTTGGCTCAGGCACTCAAGGCCTGTGGAGTTTAGGAAGCATCAAGCATTCAGTATCTGGTAGACAAGTGAGATCTGTAGGCATGTACTAAAAAAAAAGACCACAAACGTGTATCATGTAGTCACACCTGAGGTGAAAGCACAAACATACAGCTGCTACAGGGTTCCCATGAGAGGTGAGATTAATGAGACGCACTGCTGATGGATTCTTCTCTCACTCACACAGAAACATTTCACACTGCCTTGGAGTATCACAACTATTTATGCTCACATCCATCCAATGATGGATGGGAGCAAGATCAGAATAACAACTTTTGTTTTATTGCAAGTGATAAGGACAAGCTTAGGGTAAATGCATTTTAGAACACAAGTCAGGGACATAGAAGGCATGAGAAAAACTAAAAATCATCTGATAAGTTGCAAAGAAGACTGACCTGTGTATGGAGATGTTTTCTATCATCTGGTTGGAGGCACTGTCATAGAGGATGATACCTCGTGGGGAGACTGTTAACGTGACTTTCTGGAGCTTTTTTCCACTTGCTTTTGCCTGGAAGACAGAAGAGGAGGAGGAGAAACAAAGGATGGTGGTCGCAAAGAGAAAAGAGGCCATGTGAGACAGACATGGGGGGGTGGGGGTCTACAGTGTAAACCTTGCATTTATGTAAATGACAATGGAGATGGCTCATTTTAATCAGACCTGCCAATCAAAATCCACCAGTGCCACAGATACCAGGATACTCAATCAAGTTTAGAAAGCAAATTTCCTGTCACCACGCTTCCATGGAATCCAAAGAGGCCAAACAGTGGAAATGCTCATTGATGTGACTGAACTAAAAGTGGCAGAGTTGCTGGCTTGAATTAACAGTATAAAAATATGAATATGCCAGATTAGTCATTTAACAAAAAAGACACACATTTGAATAAAGAGTTACACAAGTTTAACAATGAGTGCAAGTGACAACCTAAGCTGCACACAATATGACAAGTTTAAAACAAACAATCTGGCATTCAGCAGCCTAACATCCTTTTCAGAGCGACTCCAAGGTGGCCTAACAGATTAGGCCCAATAAGAGCTTCTGCTTCCCTCTCCATACATCACCGTGTCCCCGCGTCACACAGTTCTTCTGCTGCTAACTTAATTATCCCCTGAGCTGCCAGATTCAATAGCATTAAGCCTTTTCTGCCATGATAAAGCTGGCTGAGCCATACCGTGAGCAATAGTGTCCAAACTAATTGTCTCCTCCTTTAAATGTCAGCCTGGGCCTTGTGGGGAAACGTTGACAGCCAACCAGTTGCTTTTCACTGAGGTGTCAGTCATGTTATGAATATATGACTATGATTTTCAAGTGGCTGAGGTGATGATATGGAGAAAATATTCTATGTGCATGCAAGAAACATCTTGTGGGAACAGTTTTCTGAATAAGGGTGTACTGACAAGAGATTTTAGGTGTCCAGTGTTTAAACTAAGTTATGCATATGTGTCTTTGCTTCGGGAAGTGTGCAGGCGTGTGTTGTCTCTCACTGTGGCCACTATCCTCTTGACAGCTGCCGCAGACAGCTCCTCTCCTTTGGGCTGCTCAACCATTGTGACCCCCAGGTACTTGAGCTGGAACGCCATTCCCTCCAGTAGGGTCTCCCTCGTGTCCGTCCAGTTCTCTGGGAGCTCTGGAGAATGAGAGACATGCACCAGTGACACTTGTGCTCAACAACAAACTCTCTGTCAGACGTGTGTCAGTGAAGTACCACATTCTCCCATTCCACTTGTACAGAGGAAGTCTCAGATAGATTACATATGACAGTAGCCAAACCATGTGCTCATTAAGGCTGTGTGTAATGAGCACAGGCTTTTGCAGTTCCTCCTTGTACTAAGGCAAAATCAAGTGGTCTTCTGAATGCAAATTTCATTGGCTAAAATAAATCTGCTTTTGTTTTTTTTGTGGTTTCTTTTGCAAAGAAATACGTAAACCTATTGCACATTGCAAATCTACATCAAAATATGAGTGATGTGTTTTGGCTGACTAATCTGGAGTTCTGTGACTTGGGCTAAAGTAGGCGAAAGTAGCAGAGAAAGCAGGTTTATTGACAGACAACTATGTGACAACTGTTTACAACATTAGTGTGTTAGCTCCAGTTTGTGACTGTCATGCAGAATCGTTACAGATCTCAGCTTCTGTTTATCTTTAAAAAAAAGAAATGTTAATAGGAATCAAACACTGTTCTAAAGACATGTCCAGACTCCTCAAAGGCTCTTAGTTATTTAGATTAAAAATATTTTTACTTGCTAAAAACACTGACCCATACTGCGTGTTGCCACTGTATTTCCAATTAGGAACCAGTTACAAAAACAACGAGAACACTTTCAGAGTGGAAGTACACAAACTGCTTCTTCAGTATTTAGCCAATAATAAACATGCCAACTTCTCCTTGAAGCTCATAAAAGGTTTATGGAATTGTACTCAGTGAGTGGAGGACATTTCTCTTTTCAGAAATGCCCAGGAGAAAACAGAAGCAACAGCCCCAAGTCTCTCTTGCAAAAAAGATAAATGTATCTCCAGGGCCTTCCTGGTTAAATGAAGGTTAAAAAAAAATAAAACAAAAAAAAAATTCTGCATCTAATTTGCATATCTATCTCAGCATTGTTGAGCAGACTGCACCTTCCTGTAGTTCTGTCTGTGCGGCTTCCTGTTAACAGTGAGGTGAGGTTAGTATCAGCCGTCACCCGCTGTTGTATTTCCTCTTGTTTGCTTTGATGAATCCACATCACATTCAACAGTCTCTTCTTCCATATCAGACTATGGCTCAAATACAGTTTAAAAACAAAAAACAAAACAAAAAAAAAGTTTTAGTAGCTGCGATTCATTGTTGGCTTTCAAGCTGTTAATAACAAAAATATAGAAAATAATTGGCCTGGTCCTTTCACAAAGGATGTCATGTATCAACCTTTTTTTTTTTTTTTTTTTTTTTTAAAACTGCGGGGGGCAAACCTTATGTTTCCTATAGTGTTATATTCCTTCCTTATCCATCCAAAATGTGAAGGGCTGTAAAGAGTTTTTATTGGTCTAAATGCAGCTCTAACCAAACCCATACTTAAGTAAAGGGTGAAAAGTCAAGGTCTTTGAGCTCCTACATGTATGGAACAGACCAGGTTGTTGTTACCCTGTTGTTACCCTGTTACATTAGTGCCTGAATAATAGCATCCTTACTGTAAAATAATCTGCAGGAAGGAAGTGACTAGCTGCTATTCATGACCTAAATCAAGTTATCAAGTGGACTATAAATGTTCATTAGATGTGGCTACTTGGGACAACTGCAGACAGCTACACAAATATGATCTAGATGATGCAAACTTAACCCTAAGCTAGCATGGCATCACTGACATTTAGTGCTTGCTTGTGTTTGTAAAAGCTACAGTGACCCATGAGTCCAGAGAAGTGCTGACCGGTTGGGTCCGCTGAATTCAATAATCTGTCAGCTTTGATAATGCTCTGAGTGATTAAGAGAAATGCCATTCACATAATACGAACAGCAGGCTAGTGCTAATCCAACAAACAAATCTCAGAAACAACCATCTAAAGAAATCCCCCATCCCAAGAGATAGAGACTACTGTAAGACTAGACTATGCAGATGATAGGAAATTGTTTCCAGTGTACCTGAAACAAATAAGTAAATAAATATTATACAGAAATAACCCTGTTTTAGCAATTTCAGTGAGGAATGGAAGAGCTTTCTTTAAAACCTTACATAATAGAGGTCTTAATGATGCAACCTGGGCACTTGAGCTATTTTTTGACTGGCATATATACCCAGATTGCTGCTCTGTATGAAATAATAATCCATTTTCATATTGGTCACATTTGCATTCACACACGCAACCCCCTCCACCCCCAGGCCCAGTTCCCTCCGAAGCTGTGGGGCTGATTAGAGCAAATGTCAAAGGCTACTTGGCTACACCGGAGCTCCTGGTCAGTGAGCGCTGTTCACCTTGGTCACACTGCCTGTAAATGAGCCAGAGAGTAGGAGATGTAGCATTGAGGTTTGCTGAGTGGAAGGGGGTATGATTTAGGGAAACTGTTCACTACTGCACATGCAGCTCCCATGAAGCATACATTCTCTTATTATATTCTTATATATTTTTATTATATCTCTGCATTTGCTACTTAAAGTGCCTTAGATTTAGTGTTACTTATTTATCTACTTTATATTTCATTTGTATTTTGTAGCATTCATGTGGACGGCAAAGTAAGAATTTCATTGTACAGGGAAACATGTTTCCTAACTGTGCATATGACAAATAAACACTTTGACAATAGAAGGCTGCAAGACGGTGAGCCTATGAGAGAGACTAAGCTTTTCTCGATCATTGCTCTTGTCTGTACTCATGAACTTTTGAATCACAGGACAATTCAGTCCACATCTACTATAGCCAAGTACATTCCAAAGGTAGCAAAGTACCAAGGAAAGGTACCACTGGGGAGGCAACAGTGGTTCAGTGGGTAGAGCAGTCCTCTCCCAACTGGAAGGTTGAAGGTTCGAATCTCAGTGCCTGCAGTCCACATGTCGAAGTGTCCTTGGGCAAGACACTGACCCCCCCAACCACTGATGGTTAGAGCCATCGGTTGAGTTTGCGCCGCAGATGGCTGCCATTGGTTCTGTACCGGCAACAAATTCCTTGTGTGCAACATACTTGGTCAATAAAGGTGATTATCCTTATAAAAGGATGTCGAGGACTGACTTGTGTGGGACTTTGGTGATTATCATCCCAACCTATGTTTCACATCAACCAGACTGATGCAGAGAACCTGAGCCACACTGTTGCAGTTTTTGTTCTAAAGCTGTTATTCTCACCAAATAATATTTAGTTTTTTTGTTTTGTAAAATATTCATTTATTATGTTATCAACTGAACTAAACAATGCCTACCTGAAAATGTTTAACATTTATAGAGATTTAATGATTCGGTATCAATGTCAGACCTGGATAGTGCTGTGTATAATATTAGGCTTTGAATACTGTACATTTACATTACAGGGAGCACATCTGTTCATTGGATCTCACATGAAAAGTTACTCGAGTTAAGCAGATATTAGTTACAGTTATACTGAAGTGTAATCACCTCAGTCCAAATGAAGTGGCCATGTTGGGAAACTTGGCCCTCTTGGGTCCTTCTTGGGAAACAGGTAAGATTGTATTATTACTATTATTATCAATAGCAATCATATTAAAACACTTCAAACATAATAAATGACCTCTCTACACAAGGGGAAAAATCCTGAAACTTTCAGAAGTGTCCAGAAGATATTTTTCCTCTTATATGCTCATAAAATCAACAATTATGATTACTAGTTATTACTACTTACAAATTTCATAATTTGCACTAACAGTTAATGCAGCAGTATTCCAGATTCAAACCCTTGACAAAAATCCTTTTGGCAGCCATTGAGAAAAGCATAATCAGCCTGTAATCACACAGTCAGTGTGAAGTACACTCTGCCAGTCAGATGAAAACCTGCTCCCATCCCCTCTGTCTCCTCGTGCTTCAGACAAGTCCCAACACTTCACTGGTAAGGCTCAGAAAATACATGCACCAACTTCCTCACCTCTGTAGGACTTGCCTACAAATCTTTAAAATCCTCTATCACAATCTCACCTAAGCAGAGTGTAAACAGCAGACATAATGAAGGTTTAATAATACAGGAACATCAGACTTGGAATAAAATCTCCTGTCAGTAAATGTAACAACAGGTCAAAGTATGAGAATGTCAGTGTCATTCACTGTATTGAAATTTTATAGTCATTTCAAGGAAGGTAGTTTGCACACAAAAAAAAAAGAACAATTCAAGAGTGGGTCACATCATGCCACTTATTCTCATCACCTCTAGTGTGCCTCTTTTTTTTTCCTCTACTATGAAAGGGACTACCAATATTATCAGCTACTGCAGTCCAGAGCAGGGATCAGGCCGCATATCTCTGTCCGAAACCAACCTGTGTCCAAAAGTGTAGAGTCTGAACCCTGCACGCTTATAGTATATAATGCCCGAACCCGACCCAAGCCTGGTGCAGTTGAGTTCCTACAAATGAAGCAGGCATTTGAGATCTCCAGCTGTCTAGCCTAAAGTTTGACCTATGTGTCCAAACCCACCCTGGGGTTAACCTATTTTCTAAATTTCTGGCTGAACCCGGCCTGTACCCTTAGGTACCAACAGATCCCGTCAGGCATCCACACACTACTTTATGCCAGCGATTGACCAATATGGGATCAACACATTTGACAGATTGTAAGTCTCTGCTTCATGAGACACTCAAGTAACAGACCTGCAGATAAACGCTGTTATGACAGTATCATAGATTTTGTAATTTCTGCCCACCATTTCTACAATGAGAGCAGTCAGTCAAGCATAACCCGTTTATTTTGCAGTTGCACCCAATGCAACCTTTAAAAAAAAAGTCAGGCACACCTTAAATAAATTTGGTCAAAAAAATGCAACTGATCACTCAGTGTAGAGCCCTGTTTTAGGTGCACTTAACAGCTGCATTTTCCTGAGGCACAACAAAAATTTATGAAATATTGCACCACACACAATAGAAGCAAACACATTATTTGCCTGCAGACACACCGGCCGATTAGAGTGCAGTCACCGGCCGATTAGAGTGCAGTCACCGGCCGA